CAACGAACAGTGATACCAGCACTTGTTTTAGACTTATGAAATCTTATGAAGAAGTATAGAAAGAAATTTGGAGGATGTTTTTTGGGCAACAGACGCAAGCAACATCCAAGAACTTCCAGACCTGTGCCAGTCCAGATGTGGTCAGCTACAATGTCTTTCTTCAAGCCCTGGGGTGGGGAAACCCAGAGCTGATTTGGGACCATTTTTGGACTGGTAGAAGCTGTAAATATATGTAAATATAACTCACCATTGACATCATGTTGTTGTCTTGGCATAAAGTGGATTTTCCACCACTTTGCCATTTTGATGGCTAAAAACTGCTTTAAGTAATCTTAGAATATCGTATACTGATGCTGTTTCCAGGGGATTTTGCTGTGCCCTGGCCACATGGCTGATTTATGTCACCTGCACAAGGTCGCAAAACTGCAAAAACATGTGGCACCAGGCAACTTTTGAACCCAATTAATCTCATTAATCCGTAATCCCCAATTTAGATAGAAAAGTCATGAAAAGTCTCAAAATTACCACTATCTTTCACAGGGATTTTACTTGTCTATCTGGGGGTTCCCAACTGGTCTCTGGGAGGCGCGGACAGCTCTGGCGCGAAGCGCAGCTCTGCTTCATGAATCTTCAGGTAGTCGTCACGAGTGGATGTCTGTTGCTAAAACCGGCCTCTGGTAATTTTACATAGCTCTTGAAAATGCCAACTTATAGTTGATTTACCCATGAAACACGGTGATTTTCCATAGTTATGTAAACGTTTACCAGAGGGTATACCAATAGCTAATAGTTTTGGGGATGCGATATAGATAAGGGATGATATGGGATATAGTTATAGTATAGTTGATAGTTGGAAACCATCTATAGATGACGAAATGACGAATACTTATTTTAACCCCTAGATAGCGAAGTTGGTGAACATGTCTCCAATTTCACTATGGTTTATGGTAGATATATCGAATTAGTTAATTGGGTTTATGAATCAAAAAACATAACTGGGGGGCATAACCTTTTACCCTCCCCTTCAAAAAAGATAGAATAGACACGTTTTTCCTTGATGGTACAGATGATGTTTGCCCCACAATTTCAGGTTGCCTGCTTTGCGGCAACTTTTTTTGGCTGTGCTATATATGACGACACATGGAAGAGTAAAATAAAGCGCCCTCACAACGACCTTACCATAAGGGCCTTGATATATCAGTCCAATGATAGGCCCGTCTCAAACATGGGATTCAACCTTGGGCAATGCAGGAGTTGATTGTGTTTCTTGTATCTTGGAATTTATTGTGTCTCATATAGCGTCATATAGCTATTAACTTAAATTCCTGAATACAAACATAGTCTCATTTAACTTAGATAGTTTTTTGAGATATTTTGAGAGTATGGGAACTCAAATATTTAAATATTGATTTAAAATATAGTATTTCTGTCGGAATCTCCTCCCGTACAAGTCCAACACCACTCCAAGATGCCGCGACGCCAGGCCAACAAAGACGGGCAAGGTGAGGATCTGGCGAGATGCTGAGTGTAAAAGTAACATAAAGTAACTAAGTAATAAACACATACTGTGGTTAAAACAATAATAAACCATCCCCAGAATCACCATAAATGGGCTGTATCCTCAAAAAGGTCTTTTTTCAGGCTAGTGAATCATTATAATTTGCCCAGAAACATAGACTGTGTATACAATAGACATGTCATAATCGCACTATACTGTAGTAACTTGATCAAATGATACCAACTGATACCACTACTACATGTTTCTCATATATGGATATTACTATGATGTATACAATGTCTGGATTTCAATACCATATAGTAATACATAGTATTTCGTATGCTGTCATAATTTGTCCCGATCGATGGCTGACTTTCGAAAAAGCACCAGGTGTGCAGCCGAACCTTCGCAGCTTCAACACGTGCGGCATCATGGGGATGGATCGGGTGTCTTTGGAAAACCGGGGACACCCCCAGGAAGCAATTGGATGTTCCAGAATTCCAGAAGTACCCTCCGGTAAACTGTCACATAACTATGGAAAATATGGAAAGATCCACCATTTTATAGCTGGGTAAATCCACGATTTCGACTGGGCCATGTTCAATAGCTTTTTGGATGTTTACCGTATCCATGTTGGATTTCTGAGATAGGCTTCTTCACATGATGCTTTCATGAACACATGAGATTTGACCCAAAATCCCCCTCAACAAGATGGGCATGTGCGGCATGGGTTTATTGAACCCTGGGGTCTCGATGCGCTCACAAGGGCCTGGTGATTTTTATACTATCAAACCATCTATATATGTTTGTTGTTTTCCTGAATACAATAAATATGGTATGATCATAAAAAACCATTGATATATATATATATACACATTATTCATATATCTATATATATTGTGACAAAAACAAAACTGTATTACGGACTGTTACAGGTATTAGGCTAGAATCAATATATATATACAATTTATTATGTATATTAATATACAAGTATACACCCGGATCCACGGAACTGGGAAGATTTTCTCGAAACCTTTGAAGCCATCGAAGTGACAACTGGACCATGTTCAGATAAGAATCGATTTGGTTTGAGGTTCATGGAACCAGGTAACATCCAGCAGAGCTTGTTGTTGACAGGTCGGGTCGTGAGGGCCACGGCCGCGGATCACGGCCGGGGTGGACGTCCTCATAACTGACTATGGACCCCTCACCATTGCTATGGATAATATGCCAAAATTCATGGTATCAATATGTCCACTTCTATGATGTTTAAAAAAAGAAACGTATAGGTATCCTAATGCTATTTATAATATCAATATATATATATATATCAATATTAATGGATCTTCTATATTGTCTTTTCTTTGAAAGGAATTAAAGATCGCCTTGTGGTGCTTAAGCGATGTTCAAGATGTTCAATGGTTACTGTGCTCCCCCAAAAGACGAGTTTGTAGACAAAATACAAGGAACCCTATTCGATTGACGCCACTTCAAGTTTCTACTGCAATATGTTCCAATCTTTGGAACATATTAGTTTGTGAACAACCTTGTTGGGAGTTTTGATCAATAACATGTAGGGCCAACAGCTTTCCAAATCCGCCCGCACCGAAGGTACTCGTAAAAGGTTACAGGTTTACCTGGGGGGGGGGGCCATTATTCGGCCAAAACCTCCTGTTTTTGATAGGTCGTGACGCTCGCCTTCAAAAAACACTGTAAAAAACAGTACGGAAGACACCTGTTCGTGAACGCGCCCGTCCAAAATCGGCAAGCGAAAAGTGAAAAAAACCCCGTGTTTTTCAACTTTTTGACCTCAATTTTTTGGTTTGCAACATCTTTTTTTGCGGTTCCGCAGGTGGCCTGGCCCGGAGGCGGATTTTTGAGTTTTTGGACCCGTTTTCGGACTGATTTTCGTCGTTTTGTGATAGCAGAAACACTGGTTTTTACAGTGTTTTTCTGTTTTCTGCATGCTTGACGGCTAGCTTCAAAACTTCCAAAAACCTCGTAAATTACGCTGTTTTATGTTACGGTGTGAATGAAAACATCGTAAATACCAGTGTTTTTTGACGTTGGTTAAAAAAACACTGTAAATTACAGTGTTTTTGGCCACCTGACCCTCAAAAACCATGGTATTTGCAGTGGTTTCTGCTTCTCACCGCGCAAAAACACTGTAAATAACAGCAATTTCGCCGTTTTTTCATGTTTTTCGCTATTTTTTGAACTGCGTTGGTCCGCTATACATGGCTATCAAATTCTTCGCGTTTTTTTTCCGACAATCAGTACTTTCGGATGTTTTTGGTCTCAATGGCCGACATCATTGGCAGTTACGAGCGGTCGCGAAGGTGTGAGAACAACATCGTTCAAACCGTGGCGGCCGCACAGGGGTTCTTGTCGCGGAGCGACGGCAATAGAAGAGAACAATGGCAGTAGAAGAGAACAATGGCTGACATCATTAACAGTGTGGACCGTTCACTCGATATGTACATATATGATCTTTATATATATATAGATATATCTGTGCTGTGTGAGCCCAACGATGCGGTGCGGGCGGTTGCCGTCGCGAAGCGACGTGAATAACAAAAAAAATGGTCACAACTCCAAGATGCAGAAGTTGATCCTTAAGTTCGCCGTTAATATATTGTCATGTTGTGGTGTTTGAACAAAAAAAAGAACAAAATCCAGATACACCCCGAGATTTTAGCGTTGGTTCATATCTCAATATATTTATTCTTTATATCGTTTTGGCTCAATCACCATGTATTGGTGGCAAAATTAGATTGTTGACACAATATTGTGCCACGCCAAGGATGCTGGGTGTCTACGAAAAGGCCAGCGCAGGGAAGCTCAGCCGCTGGAATTCAATGGGATGTGAAGCAACAACGCTGGGGGACAGGGGTTTCCTAAGATGGGTGTGGGGAAACGCATGGTTTGGGGGTCACCACAATTAGAAACTGCCAGGACCAAAGCTGGATGATGGTTGATTGTGGTTGGATGATCATTTATTTGGGCTTTATCGCTGGATGGGGAAAGGACAATTTTGGACACTGATCGGCTTCCAGTCCCAGTCCGGGAGAGTCACTGGTCACTCGACCCTGAAGATCCCCGAAAGGTTCCTGTGCATAGTCCCTTTGATCAAGGTAGCAAGCATTCCTTCGGACACTTCACAAGATGTTCGGGAAAAGTATTTCTCAAACTGCTGTAGATGTTTGTTTGTTTGCTTGTTTGCAAGCGTGATACGAAACAGATCAATATTTTTCTTCAGATGTTCGGCTCAAGACCCAAGATGTGAATCCTATCTACAAGACTGGGGATTGCAGTAGCAGCTTGGATCAAAGTTGTGATTCTGCTATAGAGAGCTAGAGTATATATAATTTGACACTGTTTTTTTTCGGATGAGGATCACATTTGACAGTCCGACAACTTGTGGATTCAGACAATTTTCATCGAATTTGGTGCAGGGGTTTTAGCTTGCTGCTGAAAGCGTCCGGCCCCATCCATTTTGGCCATGGCTGCAACAACAGCCCCGACACATGTCAGTCATCACGATGCCACACGTGCCGCAGTGTCCACTACGGCACTGGGGGCTTGTGCTCTGCGCGTCTGGGAGTCAAAGAAGGACCCTGCGGAACGTCCCTGGTCACGGTGGGGTCTTTTTTTGAAGCTTTCGACCCAACAAACTGGGTTTTTGTATGTTTTTGTGGCATCACATACGCATGGGGAGTTAAGACCCATCAAAATGCGCATTGACTCTAATCACTCTAATCAATCCATCAAGATGTGGAATTGATCAAGAAATATAATCAACATGGTCAAGCAATAAGCTGGGATGGGGTCAAAAAGAAAGTTTCACATGGAAACACCAAATTTGAGATTACAACATGACAAGTTGGGCCGGATGCCCCCAACTTGAACTGGGTAACTTGAACTGGGTTTCCGAGTTGATTGGGGCCGCTTGATTTAAGCCTTGAGTGTTTCATAGATTTCACGGTATCCAGCTATTTCTCAAATCCGCGTGCAACATTCTCTTGTGGGACAACTTGACCCAGCATTCGAAAGGTGAGCTGTGGACCCAGCTCTCCTACATCAAAGCTAGAGCTAGAACTTAAGAACTGGACCCTTTTTTTGGAAGGCTATGATAGGCTATGCACTAGGAATCTGGCTGAAGCATCAACATATGGCCCAGCAGGTATCAACATCTCACTTCTCTAAGCAAGCCCCCTTTTTTCGCAGCGGACCTTGCTGACAGTCATGGCCTTTCGACGGCCGGGGATCTTTTTTGGGACCGGCTCCCAGGTTTGATCTACGATCCCTTTGCCGCGGTGCTCTGTGGCGATGAAAGCCCCGAGTTGCCTTTGCAGGAGGAGGTTGGACAGAACAAGGAATTCTGGCTGGATTTCATCGGGGTTCGACGCTTGGGACTTTGCTTACAAATCGGGTGGCGATGTGTGTGGATTTTGGGGTTTAATCAACAAGAGTTGGGTTTAAAACATCAGAATCATCAAGGGTTAAATCAAAGAGCTCCCTGGTACATATGGTTTATTTATGTTTATTTGATGTGTAAAGTAGAAGGTTGAGAACGGAGAAGACGACAATATCATATCCTGACCCAATGTTCTTTCCGGTCTGTGCTTCAGCACCAGCACGTCGTTCAAAATCACTAAATTATGTAACTCGTACATTTTCCAAATTACAACTTAAACTCAAAAGGCGGTCTTTAAACTCTAAATTGATGATATGCCTTTTATTGGAAATCACAACTACTTTAAGGTTGTTTCTTTTAATCATTTTGGCCTGTTTGGGCTTGTTCTCTGGCTGTGTTCTGGGGCCCGCCCCAGTTGAAACCATGAAGAATACATCGTTTTGTGATGTTTTTGATGTGTCGCTCAACCATGCACGACACATCCTGGAAGTCCAACTTAAGACAGACCTTTTTCTTCGTTGTTTCGTCAGGAGTCATTAAATTATATTAAATTGATTGACCCGCAGACAAACCCCAACCCCTCAGGGCATGTTGAAGCAACCCCAACCCCTCAGGGCATGTTGAAGCAACCCCAACCCCTCAGGGCATGTTGAAGCAACCCCAACCCCTCAGGGCATGTTGAAGCAACCCCAACCCCTCAGGGCATGTTGAAGCAACCCCAACCCCTCAGGGCATGTTGAAGCAACCCCAACCCCTCAGGGCATGTTGAAGCAACCCCAACCCCTCAGGGCATGTTGAAGCAACCCCAACCCCTCAGGGCATGTTGAAGCAACCCCAACCCCTCAGGGCATGTTGAAGCAACCCCAACCCCTCAGGGCATGTTGAAGCAACCCCAACCCCTCAGGGCATGTTGAAGCAACCCCAACCCCTCAGGGCATGTTGAAGCAACCCCAACCCCTCAGGGCATGTTGAAGCAACCCCAACCCCTCAGGGCATGTTGAAGCAACCCCAACCCCTCAGGGCATGTTGAAGCAACCCCAACCCCTCAGGGCATGTTGAAGCAACCCCAACCCCTCAGGGCATGTTGAAGCAACCCCAACCCCTCAGGGCATGTTGAAGCAACCCCAACCCCTCAGGGCATGTTGAAGCAACCCCAACCCCTCAGGGCATGTTGAAGCAACCCCAACCCCTCAGGGCATGTTGAAGCAACCCCAACCCCTCAGGGCATGTTGAAGCAACCCCAACCCCTCAGGGCATGTTGAAGCAACCCCAACCCCTCAGGGCATGTTGAAGCAACCCCAACCCCTCAGGGCATGTTGAAGCAACCCCAACCCCTCAGGGCATGTTGAAGCAACCCCAACCCCTCAGGGCATGTTGAAGCAACCCCAACCCCTCAGGGCATGTTGAAGCAACCCCAACCCCTCAGGGCATGTTGAAGCACTATTGTTCGGGGATGTCTGCGGGCTGTCCCCTTGGGGCCCAGGATCTCATTGGATCGACCAAGAAATCAGCGAGCCTGCCATGGCTCAGCTGGTGATTCTGGGAGCTGGCTTAGATACACGCGCCTATCGTTTGCCCAAGCTGAATCTTGGTGAAGCTCCAAATCTTGGTTGCAGTTCGGTGGTTTAATGTGGCTTTGGTATGGCTACCCAATCTTGGTTGGTCATGGTGGACTTCATAAACCATTGATATGAATTGATATGATACCTTTCAGATCTTTTCAGTGAGCCTGTTCATTTCTAACGGTTGGGATGCTGTTTTTTGCTACACGAAAATGGCACGATCCCGGAACGCGCCGGACTCAGCTCTGTCAGGAAGGACGTTTTGGTCTTTGAGGTGGACTTTGAAGAGGTCTTAACTGCGAAGGCGCAAGGGGTGGCCATACTGGTGACGACCAGCGGTTTTTCATGGGAATAGCATGGAATAGATGAGGAAACCTTCAGGATGGCCAATACATGGTAGTACTTGAATCTCTTTGCCCATTCATGACTATTTATGGTGATGTATACTAGCAATTGTTGGCCTGCAGGGTGTCTAAGATTGGGAATCAAGCACCAAAAGCACCAGAAATGGGCACGTCATCCCAGTTGGACGACGACCCCTCTGAAAAAAAGTTTGTGGGGGTCTGTCCAAAACGCCTTCAACCACCAAAAAACACGGGTTGCAGCAACAAAATGGCCGGTTGGTGGTTTCCATGTTTGTTTCTCTCTTAGAATCGGATGATGATCTCTTTGACAAATAGTTTAAATACACCAATTTAAACAGTCGCCATTTGAATGGGCACAATGATGATCGACCGCTGTTTGTTTTGCAACCTATTCGCAAACAAAGTCAATTAATCTCAATTATACCCTTGTGTTTGGACCGAAGCCCCTGAGACCTAGGCTGCTTTCATTCAGAGCTCCAGCCTGTATCAACCAGGGTCCGCATGTTGGGTCGCACTGGTTCATCGGAAGTTCAATGCCACTTTTAGCGGTCCAACTGCAGGCGTTTTGTTTGTCTCAGCTTTGCCCAAAAGCAACTCAAATTCCTACAATGATACTACAAAATGATGCCCACGGTTTTCACCCATTGATAAAACCGAATCATAGATCTCCATCATAAACCCAGCAGTAAACCTTGTGATTTCAATCACCTTATCCAAGTTTACTATGGTTTACTATGGTTTACTGTGGCTTTTCCATGCTTTTCCAGCTTCCTGGAAGCTTCTCCCAGCGCACCACGGAGGCCACCCTCCTGGAAGCCCATGCGCCGGTGGCGCAGCTCCACAGGTGCCCGGCCAACTTGATCACTGCCCCCTGGGAGGAGCAGCTGCTGCTGCGGGGCTTTGCCAAAGATGCTCCGACGATGTGGCTGTTGGAAGGCACCTGGATGTCCAAAACGCGGGGAGATTAAAACATCTTAAAACTCAACAGTTTAAAATGGGGATATGGGTAGAAAATATGTCATTTGATGATTTTCCGGCAAATCCGCCAGAAAATAGGGGAATCTTCTGTATCTGGGCAGGATGGATAAAAGTTGCGATGTTTTGGGCCATCGCCATCAAATTTTTAAGTGGAGATCTGGGAACAAAACGGATGGGAATATAGACAACCAAAAGACAACTAGAAGTGGGAAACCTGGAAGTAACCACCTGGAAGCCCGTTTCTATCTTTTTGGGGAAGGGAATATATGATGGAAGTGTTTTTGTTTGTGTTTTTCAGGAGAAGGAATAAGTGATGATGATTCGAGTATGATCATATGGTTTTATTCTCATAACTAATAATTAAACCCACTCAGGCTTTATTCTTATAACAATAATTAAACCCACTCATAAACATTTCACTTCCATAATAATTCGAGGACAGGGAGTTGGACACTGTGGCTGAGCATGGTGGAAGTTGTATGTGCGGAAGAGGGACAATGATGAAACATGGAGAACATGAAAAAGGGACGGAACATTGATGGAAGTGTTGGGGAGTTTGGTCACTTTTGGGAAAGCAACTAAAAAGGGTGGAAATGATGGAAGTTGTACTGGGGGAATGGGGAGAAAGTCATGAACATGGAGATTGAGTTGAGTGATTCCCGTGCAACCAAAGTGGACGGGGATGTGGATGGAAATAAGGAAAAGTTGGAGAGCTTTTAGTTCAAGTACCCCAAACGGGGAGGATGAATCATTCACAGGATCAATGTTCACAATGTATAGGGACCCTGCTGTGGACTTACATCATGTTTGAGACTTAAGACAATTACAAGTTTTTCTGTGTAGAACTTAAGAGCTCGGCTGAATGGACATGAAGCCATGTATGTTGCCAAACATGGCCAAACCAAAAAAGTGTTGGTCTGTTGGAATGTCTTGATTCGGGCAGTAGCGAAAAAATTGACCACCTCCTATATCTCACAGCTTGAAGGGCCAAGGGTTGGAAATAATTGACCATCTCGCAGCAGAGGTTCAGAGATGCTGTTATGATTCTAACTTGCCTCAAGTTGGCTTCCGCGGCTTCCGTTGGATGCTGCGATCCTCGAAATGCTCTGGTGATATTGGGCTAAATGACCAAATTTTGACCATTAACTTATGCTAATCGAACCATAAACTTATGCTATCTATGTTAAAGTTAAATTACTAAATACTACCCTCTGGTAATTTAACATGGCTATTGAAAATGACCCATTTATAGTGGATTGTCCCATTGAAAATGGTGGATCTTTCCATAGTTATGTTAGCCCGTTTACCAGAGGGTAACTTCCTAAAACTGGTTGGTGGTTTGGAACATTTTGTATTGTTCCATATATTGGAAATAATCATCCCAATTGACGAACTCATATTTTTCAGAGGGGTAGGTCAACCACCAACCAGTTCCTATTGAACCCATTCGTGGTCGCCCCTTTTTGGTCAACCGAGTCGTCGAGGATTGACGGGATATCTCACCGAAGAGGAGCTGGAGATGCTGATGACAAAGGTCTCCAGCCTAGTTTCTTGGTGAGACCATTGTCCACCATGGTTTAGATGGCCCATTTATAGATGGTATGTAGATGGTTTACCTAGCTATAAAATGGTGATGTTCCAGTTCGCTATGTTAAATAACCAGATGGTATAACCAATGGTATGGTATAATCCATGATAATATGGTATAATATGGTATAATATGGTATAATACGGTATAATATGGTATAATATGGTATAATATGGTATGATGTCTATGGTATATCTCATATTATACTTATGTTGAATGGTAGGGAAAATGGTATGATCCATGTATAATCCATGGAATAACGGCTGCATAACCCTTAAATTTTTGGTCACTGGGCCTTCATGTCATTTAGGCCATAGCTGATCACCATTCGGTTTTTCTCAGGTTTTCGTCATTGTTTTCGTCCAAAACTTGGGCTCCAATCAACTCCAAATCCCCATGGAAAGATCAATGTATCAAGCGTCAGTTTGATGGACCCAATTCGGAGAGATCCCCGGCTGTTGATGTTGTCGGAATCCCTGGCCGTTGGAACTAAAAAAACGATTTCCAATCATATCTAACCTCTCGAAAATACGATATACGGATTACGGATGTATAATACTGTTTATCTCAATAATCATATACAAGATGGGGCCTGGACCCCAGCCTATGCGTTGGTTTACAACCACCATTTACATCCATTTACTAGTTGGATATATCTACCATAAACCCAGCAGCGATTGGAATCATGTGTGCCAACTTTGCGTGAGCTCGAACTTAGGGTCCACCTTATAAGAACAATAAGAATAATTTATATGGAACTGGTTATCTGGATTAATCTGGAACATATATTGCGTGTATAATATACTTATTATATAATATATATATGATATGTAGTTTGTCTTAACAGCCATCTACCCATTTTTGACGATACTGATCTCACAGGCCTAGGCCACATCCCATATCATCCCATGGACATCGCCACCGGGTGCCGTTGTCCCCTGTAAAAACAAACCAGGCGCCCGCCGTGTCCAAACTGACAGCTACCTTTGTGGGGAGCAGCATGCGGGAGAACGTCACCTCCATGCATCGCTATTTGGTCAGGGCCCCGAGGGATTTTGAAAGGAACTGTCAGGGTCAACCAAAAAAATGTGGAGATATTGGGTTCATAATATATTATATGTTATATTATATATATATATTATATTAAAATATGTTATATTATATTATATTATACATGTATGTATGTATATATATATATGTATATATATATGTGATTATTATACCTGTATTTTTTTACCAACGGTGTATATTGGATAAATTTGAACACAATCTCACTGCGACGTCACTGGAATGATGCTTAGGATTGGGGTAACTATCCCACTATGGCCTTTTTTTCAGGTTGGCGAATCATTCTAATTTATCCAAACTAGTTGGTGGTTTGGTTTCCATATATTGGGAATAATAATCCCAACTGACTAATATTTTTCAGAGGGGTTGAAACCACCAACCAGTTTCTAATCTATCCAAATATGTGGTGATTTAATCAAGAACTGGATTTTTACTGGGAAGAAGCAACTTAATATGATTTGAGTATTTGAGTGTGAACGGGGGATGGGTCCCAATTTATGGCAGTAAAACTGGTGGCTGTCCCCTACTTGTTCCGACAAGGTGAACTGGGACATGAGATGAGAAAGCTTTGCGTTTCATAGTGTCATTTTGTTGCAGAGTATCCAAGATTGGCCACACTAAACAAGTACGGCTACTCAAAACTGGTTGACCCAAGGAAGTTATATAGGCCATTCTAGGCCCTTCAAATGATTAGCGGATTCAGGGAGGCAATCGCTACTAAAAGATTGCAAAGGTGGATAGGAAAATCGTCCGGGTCACTCGGTGTGGGTCAAGTGGTAAACTAACAGTTTGCGAACAGGAAAGATCCACCCAGTGGACTCAGTGGACTCGGCGCCAAAAACTCATCCCCCAAGGAAAGCATAACGGGAAAGTACTGGATCTACCCGGCCTGGTAAACGGGCTCACATAACTATGGAAAGATCCACCATTTTTCGTGGGAAAACTCACTATTGAAAAATGGCCATTTTCAATAGCTATGTAAGAAATTACCAGAGGGTATTGCAGGATCTTTTTGGCACCAGTCATGGTGTCCATGGTGTCCATATTTATCCACTTAATTCCACTTGTCCCCCTTGGGATCCAATCCCATTCACTTCCAGTTTCTTCGGGGTTTCCAGTCACCTTCAAGACTCATCTGGTATTGGCCTTTAAATTCTGGAGCTGGTGTGATTTAATTGCAATATCGAACCAATCATCTCCTGAAATAAGAACAATTTGGAATTATAGAATATCATATTAAGGAGATAGTTGAATCCCAGGGGCTGGTACCTGGGCTTCTGGGCTGGGACCAACCTTCTTTCAGGTCTCCGGTCCAGAGCAGATTGAGACACTGCTCAGTCGATTTGGCTGGACCGCTTCCGTGCCGAGGCTTAGTTTTGTTTGTGGCGCAAGCCATGGCTACTTTGCTCACTATTCAATAATATGATATTAGGGACCCATGACTTAGGACTTAGGCCCACATAGGGACATGACTCCTTGGGTATCTTTCACAAGTCCAAGACGTCACTGGTACCTAGTATTAGGTACCTAATATTATCTGAATATATCTGAATTATCTGCACAAGATTTTGTACATGTCCCAAATACATGTTGGAAAGACTTGCCCAATATGGTTGCCATCCACTTATTGGGATGACGGTTCGAAGGATTGGCTCGAAGCCGTGACACCCCTTGTCATTCCTACACACCCTTGGTCGATCCTTTTGGAAAGAATAGAGGGTCGCTTTGGCATACCAGTTATTATCATGTACCCTAGGGTAAACTAATATAGATGTGGAACATCAAACATGAAAGCATTCTATTTTCATTGGGAAACCATGTTTTTCCACATGTTTACCCTCCATGCTGATCCAGTCCGGCCAGTTGGGGTTTAAAGCGCTGCCAGTTGAGTCAGCACTTTATTGGATGTACATAAATGTGTATATATATATACATATATTATTTGAAATCTCCAAGCTTTATTTACAAACACTTCTGTTTCTGTTGTGTCAATCGCTACCTTGTTTCAATGTTGATTTCACTATAGCCACATGAACAACCATCAAAAGCATGATAGACATACCACATATGATCGAGGATCGGTCATGAATATCTCAAACCCACCTCAAGCAAGTTCTTTCGCCTAGAGTGTGCTTTCAGATAGATATGGGATTGTTTGAAAATAGGGTACCCCTTCTTTTCTAAAGTTCATCATGGTTGATCATCAGTTTTCCCATTAAGATATATTGAAATTGCTATTTTGGGTAGCCCTACAAAGCACCACAAGTCAAAAAACAAGTGTTGCACAAGCGCGCTTCCAATGAGGTGCACAGACTGGGAGAAGTTGCTGAAAAGTCGCCTGGAAAACAGCAAAAAACAACGGCGCGATTTCGAGAGATTACCATTTTTAGAGGGGATAAAACAATGTGTGGCCCACCAGTTATGGATGTTATGGGTTGGTTTAACCACATTTACAGTTATAATTATTGTAAACCGGACTTTAAGACTTATTTGGAGTTAAAATTCGCAACTTATCGAGGGGGGCCCCACTTTGTATACAAACATCGTGTCACATTAGATTATTCGCAAATGAGTTTAACTCCCACCACTGTTCAGAGGTGAAATTTTCAAGGAACTCTGCAGATATTTTTTTGGGGGTTTCAAGTGGTGGATATCTTCGCTATGACCTTCAGATTTGGGCATCGCTAATCAATGGATGAAATCACTTCCAATAAATGATGATTAGCAGTAGGTGTCGGCTCAAAAGCCTGCCAGAAGGTACACCTGCCCCGCAGAAGATTGAGGTGGATGTCTCAATAGGGTAGTTCAACATAGGTTGCCATGGAGTTGGAGCCTAACATACAGGCACTACAGGATGGACATCGAGTTGATTGTGTGGTAGAAGTGTTGTTCACTGGACCAGGGTATTCAGTTTTGACCACAAAGATCCACAAGGTCACGATCCTCACAGATGTCAAACTCACCAAGGGACAATCGTTCACATTGTTTGGAATGAGCAAGTGGCAAGTCGCCAACCAATTGTGGTTGATGAACACAGAGCATACGGTGGTTTTGCAACATCTTCCCAGGGATGTGTCAGAGCTCAAAATGATGACAGAGATTTGTTCAGGGATTGGGGCAGTCACTGAAGGGTATGAGGCTTGTGGGGCAACTATCAAATCTCACAATGAAAAGAACACGGTTTTTGCTGAATGGTTGAGAAGACAAAACAAAGTGGTCATCCAAGGTGACATTGCGGACCCAGTCGTTGTCTCACAGATTTCGCATGTTCACGGATCCATTTTGTCAGGTGGTGTGTCATGTCAACCTTGGAGCACGTTAGGAGACCAACAGCAGTTTAGGGATGACAGGTCGTTGTCTATGACAGGCATGCTGAAAGCCATCCACCTGCTACAGGTGCCAATGGCAATCATGGAATGCACGCCAAAAGTGTATCAGTCCAATGAAACTCAGGCAATGTTCCGACAATTTACATCCGAAACAGGTATGAAGGTGCATCAAGCCATTTTACCGTTGCACACATTTTGGCCATCACGCCGCCAAAGATGGTGGGCGACCATCTCGCATCCGAGCCTGGGCCTCCAGGCTATTCCAGAGATTCCGCCACTTGCATTCGAGCCCAAGTTGATTCACCTTTTTCCTTGCTTCATGGAACTGGATGATTTCACGTTGCAGGAGCTGAAACTGGATGAAGAATTGGAACAATTCATGTCTACTCCCAAAGGCATGCATGAACACCAGGTCAATCAGTTGAAACCATTACCAACGGCTACGCATTCATGGGGCAGTCAACTTAAAGGTTGTGAATGTGGTTGTAGAAGTCATGGTTTCAGTCAGCAAAGAATCAAAGAGAAGGGTCTATATGGTCAGCTCCTGCCACTTTCGGAGACATGTACAAAGCAACAATCCGTAGTGCGTTGCATGCGTCACCTCCATGCATCCGAAGTAGCCCTTGCCAATGGACTTGATCCGTTTTTTCCAGGTCTGAACAACATGAAGCCGAGACTTGCACTGGCAGCCGTAGGTCAATTGGCATCACCGTTTCAGGGGGCTTGGGTACTTGCCAATGCCATGCATGACATGAATAAAGTAGGAGTTCTCCCTGGACCAGTCAAGAACCCCATTGACGTCTTACAGGCACAGGCCAAGCACCTATTGCTGCAGAGAGACAGATTGCTCAAGGTTGAGACGCAAACCGAATCCATGCTTCGCCTGGCCAAATGACCTTTGGGGTAATCCGGAAGCTGATGCGATCCTCAAGAACATGAATTTTCCACATGTCAAGCCGAAACCAAGAGAGACTCAAAATGATCGTGTGAAGCAAGTGGCTTATGCAGACCCAGCCAAGACAGTGACGGAGTGCTTTGCCAACCCAGTTGCCCAAGTTGCCCATCACCCTCCCATGTGTCTTCAAGCCATGCCTCAGGTGACGACCGTCCCTGTAGGCCCCGCCCGACCCCTGGGTAAGCTCAGTAAAGATGATGTAAAGTTAAGCGATAAGCCAAACGATGATCAAAATGATGAGGCACAGCAGCAATCAGCCTATGAGGAGCAACCACATCCAGGCAAGCCTCAAGGCATTGAAAAGCCATCCAAGCCGAAGGGAACAGCCGTTCCCACCAGTGTTGTGATGGAAGATCATCCGAACCTCAGTTTTCCGACTAGGGGGGTAGCATCGCCAGAAGTTGAGGAGTGCAACGTGTCCGGACATTCAGGTGAAGAAAGAATTGCAAGCCAGGTAGGTGGTAGTAAAGGAACCGATAACCCTCCCATGGTTTTTCATGCCATGCCACAGGAGACGCCCGTCCCTGCTGGCCCCTCCCAACCCCGAGGCTTGGAGGGGCATGAGAAACGTGACCACCAGTCGCACATCATTGGTTCACTAGTGACATCACACAAGCATGCCATTCCATTGCAAGTGACACAAGACCTTCAAAAATCTCAGGTCCATCCGTCAGTGCAGAGCCAAGCCGTTGGCCAACCAAGGACAACCGAGGTCCAGCCAGAGACTCTGCCTTGTGAAGCAGCACATGGAAGGACTTCAGATCAGGACAGGGGGGTATTGACTGGGCCCTATCACAGCCAGGGCATTAGGCCTTCCTGTAAACCAAGCCTTGCAGAGATTAGCCAAGCAGGTAGCAACACAGTTGTCCTACAAGATTCGATGGGTGTTGATGCTCAGGTGGGATCACATTGCCACACACCAGCCAGGCCCAACCATGAGAGGACCACGCAGCCGTCTCCAGCCCAGACCGAACATGGCACCCAGCTCTCCGGGTGTGAAGATGCACTAGTGGAACACCAAGAGACAGATGCCCATGTAGCACCAAATGCCAACCAACCTCAAAAGATGCAGATAGAGCCAAAACAAGAGCAGTATTCAACAGTGATTGATGAGCAGCCAAGGAACACAACAACAGGCAGCAAAGAGAGCTCAAATCGTGAAATGGCAGAAGATGAATGGCGGTTTGAACAAGAACTCTTGCGTCAGTGCATCGCAGTTGAAGAACAGCAGCACCAGCAAACAGAATCCTTCCAAAAAGGAGCAGTCCCAGGCTTTGCTGTTAAAAGGCCAGTAGAAGCAAAACTGCCAGAGGCCAAAAGGCAAAGAACGGATGAAAACCAACATGAACCAGAAATCGCAGACTCGGGAGGCAAGCTGGGGACCCCTTTTCAGTGCAACAACACCCTGGTGGGGCCAAACGAGAATGCGGATCAGATTGAGATTAAGTCACACCATGAAGGGTACAGCAACGACACCCCGGAAAGCTTTCTCCACTCCAAACACCAGCTGGGGAATCAGGGACATCAGATCAATGAACCTGTTGAAGTAGCTGAAGCCTTCTTGCTGACTAGTGAATCCATCCCAACAGAGATCAGAGTACCATTTGGTCATACTGCAGGGCAATTGCTATCGGCCCAGGCCCGATTGGACAATGCCGAGGTTGTCGACATCATGATCAGCACAGCGATGGGCACTCCCATTCCTCTGGCTACTGCAATCGCTCCAGGAGTAATTTATGCAGTGCATGAAGTGGGACGCAAAAAGCCTAAGCCATGCCAAGTATCCCTCCCCACTGAGGAACAACATCCGCCACTCCTGACAGGTGACACTCGTGAAAAGCTGCTATGGCAGCAAGAGGGTTGGGTTGCAATTGATGAGATGACCTTTTACATGCAAATGGCAGCAAACAGTTATCCAGGTATCTATCAAGCGCCAGTAGAGTGGCACAAGCCCACGTTTGCCCAGTTGACTCAGTTGGTTCTGGACTCACTCCAACATGCAGCATCCGTACATCAGCCAGTTTTTGTGCCAGTACTTGAACAGTCACATTGGTTCCCAGTCGCGGCCTTGCCTCATGAGGAAAAAGAGGGATACTATGTGTTTCATGCACCACCGGCTCAAGCGGCTAGATTTCAACAAGCATTCCAGGAAACATTGGGAAACCACGAAGTGGAATTTGCTCAAAGCCCAGTGCCAAGCTGTTTCATTGCAGACTGTGGATTTCAAACGGTAGGATGGATCATGTCCAAAGCATGTCAAGATCAGCAATCTTATATTGTCCATGACTACCAAGCAGCCCACTGGCGTCAGCTGTTTCATGCCAACTTGATTGCACAAGACAAGCATGTGGAAGGCATTGTCATTCCACTACAGTTAGGAGGGATGAACGCCACTGCAGAATCCTTGGTCAAGCTGGTTGTTCAACATGGGGTTGCCAAATCTAGAGCCCCAGAGTGTGCAGAGCAGATCATTGCAACACTAGGGCAGTCGCAAGTCCAGCGCATCCTGGAGTCACCACGCCCGTGGGTTGACTTGAAAGCCAGGGCAAACCTTTGCAAGCCGCCCTTGCGTATCGTCTTGGCCGAAGAGTTGCAGAGTTTGATCAAGACCAAAATGCAGTCGCCCATGCCCGTAGGCAAGAAGTCCAACAAACTGAAACATGGCCAGCAGACAGCTCCGGATCTGAGGATCAAAGCCGAACAGATCAACGTGCCCCATGGAGTCTTCCGTCAACAGGACGGCCAAGAATTGGGACAGCTATCGCAAAGTCAAATCAACACGACAAGTAAAGGAATCCTGGTCGCAAACATTGATGAGGCGATGCCATACTTTGCCTTGCAGCAGCCGCTGACATCCGAAGGCATTGGACTCCTGGTACTGGATCATGCAGACAGTCGCTTGCCACCAAATCACACTATTGTCAAAGTGCCGTCCATATGCCGTGCAACAGCCGAACCCCTGATTGCCACAGCAGCCCTCTTTCAACTTGGCAGCAAGCAGGTTGCAAGAAATGTCCCAGCTGATTGCGTCCACATCCAGGAGACAACA